AAAGAAGAAAATGAAAGAAATCTCTCTCAAATTAAAATAAAGCCAGCTGAGTTCTCTAACACTTGGTGGTTCCTCCAAAACAAACAGCTTTRTGTCCCAGTGAATGTACAACTTGTTTCTTTTGTGAAGTGCTTCTGCCTGCAATTTCTAATTAACCAGCTCCATTCTTTTCTACAACAAGTAGCTGAACGCATACAAGCTACAATGTATACTTCAGCTAAATATATGTAGGTATGATTTTAAAAGGGAGATAACTACTTAACAGCATTTGCATGTTGCAAAGAGGCTCAATTAGTATAATAATTCAGAAATCTTGCTTTTACTCTGCTCTCTGCATAGCTGCCCTGTACTGAATACAATCTGCACACTAAAGATATCATGTTTGCAGTTAAAAATCTCCAGAGACTTTAGACCCATACATAAAGATACTTATTTCACTCTTTTCTGAGACACTGACCTGTATCCTCATTTAAAAATGAACACCACATCTTTATGTTATTAAATCTTTGTTTTGATCTATTAGTATTCACCAAAGTGCCATTTTATACAACCCCACACTGAATAGGCAAGGCTGGAGGTAACCATCTGCAGCTTTAGAGTCAGCATTTGAATTGATGAAAAGAGCTTTGTGTTTTCATTGCCAAGTTTGATTCTTCCAGTCATTAGACATTCCCCTCAGATCGCATCAATGAAGCGGACTCTCTTACACCCATGTGTTAAATTCTCTTCTCCTCATGGTTTCCTTTGCCAGCTATACTCCAGAAAGACTACTGGGTCTTAGCCACATTCTTCTCACAGCTGTGTTAAAAAAGAGCATCAGAGCTTCTTCCCAAAATCCATATGTGTATCTGGTCAGTCCCCTGTCGGAGGGTCACCTCACATTGTGGTGTGATTATTCAAATATTCATCCTTGTTCTTGAACTGCACTGCTCTGATCATTCTGGGAAAGATTAGACCCTYCAGCCAGCACTGAAGAAAGTGTTGGACATTGATGTGAAACGTACACAGCTCCTGCACTCAGAAGGCAGATTAGTTTTACTTGCAGAAGAGGGGGACACTACTTAATAAATGCCTGCTTCTTATTTCTTTCCAKTTTTTGTATTCTTTTCAACTGTGTYGACTGTTGGYAAGAACAGTTTGTGTTTGTTGTTTCATATATCAACTTACATATCAGCATCAGCTAAGAAACTAAGAACAAGTACAAAAGCAAAAAAAGCATTTTCAAAAATGCTGGAGGAAAATTCAGGACTAAACAAATAAGGAGTGTTTTCCAGTCACAATGAAATTTAGGTGGTCAAAAAATTCAGACCTTAAGGGGTAAAGCAAATGTTATGAAAGATAGAATTTAATTCAGAAGACTACTTAATTTTCTTATGTATTCAATTAAATATTTTCTTCAAAGTTGTAACTCRCCTGACTTTTGCCTTAGAAGAAAGAAAAAAAAATAATAAACAGTTAAGGACAAATGAAGCAATGACTTCTTTTCTACATCAGTTTTGCATTAGCTTTATACATAGTCAGAGATACCTTGACAAAGCAGACAAGAAGGTTGTTTCTCACCATTTATGCTTATTTTTTCATACCTGTATATTTTAGCATTGCACTGTTACTTTGTGGATTTGTGTTTATTTTTAGAGGATTACATAGGAATTCTACCCACTCACCCTCCTCTGCCACTTTACACAGCTACATGAGTATGCAAGTGTAGCTATGCTGACATGCAGAGCTGTGCTTTACCGAGATAGATTAATTGAGTTATGAGAAAAATATAGAAGCCCCAATAGACAAATTGCATTAAAATTCACTCCAGCTGCAAAGCTGTTGCAGAAAAATAGAACATTTCCTGGAAAAACCACATCAAAAGTGGCCTCAACCTTTACTGATAATTGGCTAATATTGATTTGGTATTACATTATAACCTCCTCTGATCCCACTGACATCAGCAACCACTCCACAATCCCAGAGGTTCCAGCCGGAAGGACATTTTTAAAATGCCTTGTTTCCTCTGTTGGCAGAGGTATTAATTAATTCACAGGCTCTCCCAGCCACCTTCTCCAGGTCAGCCCCATTTCCCTGCTGGGACTGMACCAGCTGGCTCCTGGCTTCTCAGGCAGGACAAACTTGCAGGRGGCCTGTGGCACTACACCAACAGTCCTGGTGAATTCTGTACTCCTGTCCTTATTCTTTGTTTGTAACCATGAAATAGAGGCACTAATTAATTTTGGGAAATTTTAAGCATAGCCATTCTAGAGTATTGATTTAAAATGTTACTGGGTAGATCATAATTTTCTATTAAATAAATATTGCATTCTGTGTGCACATACATGTATTTATTTATGTAGACCACAGTTAAAATGTGTGCTTGTATAAAGAATAGCGCTCTTTTAAAAAAGTCAAATGTGTATCTTGATAGGGTCTCAAAATCAAAATAGATTCAAACAAATGTAGCTGAATCTGTGTGGTCACTCTCTGAGCACCAATGTTTCCTGTTTCACACCAGCACCCCGACCAGGATGCTGAATCATCTTCATAGGTAAGAGCACGCAGTCTCAATTTATATCTCACACTGCAGTGAGCCAGCAYGAGATGTTCACCCTATTTAGGCATAAACAGATGTTTACTATGTGCAGGTTCACTTTAAGTAGATACCAAAATATCCCCTTTATGGTTCACAGCTGCTGTTTCATGTGGGATAGGATCAAGACATTTTTGGATGCTTTTTGTCCTGAGGGAAAGCAGAGGACCGCTATTCTGACTTAAATGTCACTTTAGAAAGCAACAACTGCCGGTGGGTACACAAATGGCTGACATGATGGCGATGCTGTGGAGAATTRTATCTCTGTTTTAAGCTCTGCATATCACACCGAATGCAAACACTGAAGTTTTTAAGAATATTAAAAAATTCTTTAGTGTTGCCAGAGAACAGATCAGCAAAGGCAGAGAACACCAGTAAATGACATTGTACGAAGACACAAAGTACTTCCCTTTTAAACATTATTTTATTAATTACAATTATGTTCTTCCTTAATGGTTATAATTATTTTGCTCTTCTGATTTTTAACTGTTGCTATTTTACTGAATAATATTGAGAAACTATTTTACACAGCTGATAAAACTACTTGCTTCATATGTCAGAATTCAATTTTAGCTGACCAATTTAAAAAGTCAAGAAAAAAGATATTTTAGAATAGTCTTTAGACTGCAAATTTTAGTGTCACTGTTTAAACTATATTAAGCCTCCTCTTAAGATACTGCTATTAATACTACTGTAATTAATACCAAAAGCCTTTCTGTTGACAGGTTTATAAATTGTTAGTTCTTTTTTGAAATGTAGAACATCTTACATCTTCGAAATAAAATGCTAAGCTAACAAATGAGTTCCTGCCTAATTGCCAAACACTGATTTGTATGAAGCAGTTGAGGTTACAAAGAAATTGGGAATTCTCAGCCCGGTTTCCCTGCTGATGAGTACGAACTGTCTGTGTAGCTCTCCCAGAGGTGTCAGAGGAATCTCTATAGTGTCACACAAGGGTTCTTAGCTCAAAGTAAACACACTTTCCACAAACTCAGCTGCTTAATCTGTTTGCAGGTTGAATTATAAGATGGGGGTGGATGACTCCGGGTGCTGGGAAGACGCACAGAGCATTTCCACAGTTTCTTGGTAAAAAGGGCACGCTATTGTCATCAAAAGACTTCAACCAATTGTTTAATTTTGCTATTGGCTCAGTCGTCTGATCTTAACAATAATGAAAACTAACCTGACCAAAATTTTCCCAAGTAGTTGAGCATGTTAAATTACGTGAATTCTTTTCACTATAGCAGTGCATCRCCACTACTTTAATTCAGTTTGTGGCTGTACTTCTACTTCAGCCACCCTGGGTACACGGGATTAAACAAGATTGTTTCACTTTAGAAAAAAAAAGCACCAACGAAACCCCTCTCTTTACCATGCTTTAATTTCTTTTTTCATAGGTTTATTTTTATCAAGCACATACCTCCTAAAGTTTCAAATATGTCTAAGMACTCAGAACAAAGACTGGAATGACTACCAAACAACCACTGGAGATTTTAAAGAGATGMCTAAAAATTTGCATTTTCAAATATATCTACCTTAATATCTACCTTTTATGTAGTTACAAATAAATTAAAAATATAGTAATATACTTTTTTTTTTTTTAATAGAAGAACTCAGCACATATTTTTATTATCAGGAAATACTCTGGTTAGGTCCTTGCAATATATTATAAGCCAATTTCTGGCTACTCTCTAAATATGCTGCAGACATAAAAGCTGAAGACACTTATRGACAGACAGGAAAATTTGCATCAGTTCAGCACTGACCACCTTGAAAGGGYGAGAGAGGAGAATTTTGCAGTAATGCAGAGATGAGAAGTATTGGACTGTCAAGAGGCATAAGTAATAACAAACATGACAATAAGTACTTCAGTAGAGATGAACTTCAGGTTTTGGAGTTCAGTAACCTTTTAACAGGGAAACTTATGATGGGAAAGAGAATACAAGCTCTGTTCACTGACTCAGACACTTCCTGCAGCTCTCAGTGAGATTTTGAAGCCACCCMTAAATAACCCCATAAGCATTTACCATGGCATGAAACCTGCCAGATGTGTTAACAGACCAAAAATGAGAACCTTAATATTCTACCACACAATTATAAAGGCAAATACTCTGTTGCCATAGGATTGCCATAGGGTAAAAAGACAGTGAAAACCATTCATAGGAGATGGAAAGACTTTCTCTGTGCCTCACAYGCGTAGGAAGCAATTTCCGTAACAGTAATGGAGGTACCCTGACTTGCCTAATAGCACAAAACTGTTAAAATGATCAGCTTCACACTGAGTAGGTAATGAGCTGACAAAGAAAGAATCRTTTTAAAGGACTTCTTCTGAGTACTGCCACACTTTCGGTTAGAGACAAAATACCAGAAAAAACGTTTCACGTGGATTACAACTGCAATTTTTATTGGAAGGCAAGTGACTTACTTTTGAACTTTTTCATTGGCCTCCCGCGAAGCTTCCAGGGCTTTCTGGAGCTTCAACTCGGTGTCCTTTTGCTCTGACCGAGTTTGCTGCAGCTGARCTGCCAGGTCTTCAATCTGGCCATAAGTCAGGGTCACAACATCCTCTGCTCCCTGCAGCCTGCCTTCAGAAGTACTGAAAGCACAGTTAGGCTGGTTCTTCAGACTCATTCCTTCAGACAAAGACTTGTATAAGCTGGGAAAACCAAATCATACATATTATTAAGTTTCAGTCTAAGCTAAGTTGCAAGAATTAATTCTGTCAATATTGTCATATATGGACTCACATGCTCTAATACCAAAGTAAGTTTTATTTTAAAAGTGACAGGAAACAAAAAGAACAATCCTTTTCCACAAGGCTCTTCAAGAAGTACGTAACAACAACCAAAATCTTAAAAAGTAAATAGAAATATTCATCAAAAGCTCAAGAGGAAAATTTTTTCAGCCATAGCATCTTGCTGATCACCTTGCAGCAAAAAGTTTTTATTATGATTTACATGAAGTTGAATTAATTAGTGCAAGTTATTGATGTGTTATTTGTGCTACATAGGACTCTCTTTTAGCAAGCAGACTCATCAGCTACTGGGGATTTATTTGCAAAAGAAGGTTTTTCAATAAAATGAAAAATATAAAAACATTGCAATGCAAAAATGAAAATAATTAAATCAGTAGGATTACTTAGAAATATGAATGATTTGCATATGCTAACCAATTCTAAAGGTCTTTGGTCAATATTTTTGTGAGAAGAAACTTAAAATATTTCTCAATGCTGGTTTAAATAAGCCAGTAACACCTGCATTAGAGTATTCAATGTCTTAAATATCCTTTTTCCAGTAGACAACCTGTCAGTGTCAAGGTTTTATCACAAGATATTTCAGTATCTATAACATTGAGATGTCCTCCACCATAACTTCTTAAAAGTTCCTTTCTGACCCACTGTTTTTGCTTCACACAGGCAAAAACTGGACACGTTTGTCATCTGTTTCACACAGAAATGTTATGGATGTATATGTAACCCATTCAGTTTTATCCATGATTTTGAGATATGTTCATAGAGATTCTAAATCACAGAGCACAATCTCAACATACAAATCAAAATACCGTATTAAATGCTTTGAATTTGTGTGCCAGAAAGTTCTGGACAAATCAAACACGATTTCAGTGTTGATTTCTAGTAGCAGTGCACACTGATTACAGTATTCACGACAGTCTACAGGACAGCTGCTAGAATGCAATAGCACATTTTCTTTCTTTGCAGTTTATTAAGGTATAGAAAACACYATCTGTTCCAACAGTTCATGAAGGAAAATCATAAACAAACTAAAATATAATATGGACGGACAAAAAAATGTGGATGGACTAAAAGAAATAGAGAAACTAAAAGGTCGGAGTGTTGATATGTCATTGCACATAYTACCCATGCTTATCTGAAAACAATGTGAAAAACTTTTTCAATTAAATGAAGACATATTGAAGATATAAATATTTATAAAAGAACATTAGAATTCATAGAATGGAATAAGTTAAAAAAAGATTACTCTAGCAGTTGCACATAGAATTTACTGACTGAAGTTCCACTATAGTTGAGAATTGATCACCATGGAAAAACACAAARGCATGCAAATGATGTCGAAAGCAGGTTACTGAAATTCTGCTGCTGCCCACTTCTAAAACACCTGGCACAAGATTAAAAGAAAAAAAAAAGACAGATGAGAAGCTAAACTGTTYAGTGAATATATACATCCTTGATTTAAAAAAAAGCAACAAAACCTAGAAGATAGGCTAAACATTCTACCTTGTTCATACCAGCTGAGAGTTTTTACCATAATATGTGAAAAATAAAGTAATTTATTTAGATCCTAAAATACTGGCACTCTGTGGCTAAAAYGGGACTCCTTTTCAAAGACTGAACACAAAAAACCACAGTTTGCCATTTACTATTACATGTCTTAACTCATAATGATTGCATCTGAGTGACCAGTAGATTCTGACATATTCTTATTTTGTAACCAGTGTGATTCCTCCAGATAAAGCCACTGTTATTGATAGAGCTTTAAATTTTTTTTTTTTCAAAAGCATGCAATTCCAGACTTCCATCAGTATGTGCTTTGCTGAAATACCTTTAATTAATCTCTTCTGAAATTCACTAATTTGAAATTCCTTCATTTATATCCYGAAGATTATTTCCTCAAAGAATAGTGATGGTATAATTACAAAATAAATGTGAGTTCTAGGCCTGAAGAATGGGTCACAGAAGTATCAAACAGTTCCTGGATTTCAGTAATTCACATGTTCTTTATAGTAGGGCTTTTGCTTTACTATGGCAGCGTGGTGTCTTTCCTGCTCCAGCTTGGGTCTGAGAGCTTCAAGGCCCCACCTGAGCTGTGTCTAGGCAGAAGAAAAAGTGACATGTGAGGATATCAATCGTGCAGCTCCTGCAGAGAGGAAGAGGTTTCCTCAGCCCYCAAAGTCAGAGCAGCTTCAAACCTGCTAAGAAATATCAGCAGTTGTAACTGCTCCCAGAGGGACTTGACTTTGGCTGGAAACCAACCCAGAAGTGGTGCTCCTAGAACAATTCTCGCCTTGCCAGGCATACTTTAGCTGCAAAGTGGGAAATGATTTTCCACCTGAAGCAATTACTGAACAACACAGCAAAACCTTCCACCTACAGGAACAAAAAAAAAAACCAGCAAAAAACCAAACATTCCCTACCYGTCCCCTCCCTCTGCCTCCACCCCAGTGATAAACATATCCAATGTTCCCAAAGGCGTGTAGGTCTAACCCTGTTTTCACCACAGATGTTTCTCACAGGTCCTGGAGACCTCTCAGAGCTCAGCCTGCACTCAGGATGGCTTTGTGGAGTGTCCCCTCCTGCCACTGAGTGCACTCAGGCAGCATCGACACCTTGAAAATACTACCTCAAAGGTGCTCTTAGGAAACACTGCCATAAGACGATATCAAAAAAAGCCCTACGACCTAGAAGGACTTTGAAACTTTCCTGTGAAGTGAAGGATATAAAATGGTCAAGTTTGCATTACATGTGAATCAGGAACCTGACAGCTGGTAGACTGGTAAGTAGATGACATTGCCCTACCATAGACAAATATTTTACTAGTCTTCCTTTGCCTGCATTTACACAAGCTAAGAGGACTGTGTTTTCTTCTGAGTACAACAAACCGTCTCTCTCTAATTTATCCGAAGGCAGCAGCTGAAGGCAGAGCCTGGCACGCAGGCCATGCTACAACAGGAATGCTCATAGCACGTAAGGCAGAGTGTGTTCCTTGCACTGTCACAGTCCAACACAGTGTCACTCTCTTGTGTGCTGTACCCAACCATCCTTAGTCTGGGATGAGCTCAGACAACTTCAACCACTTGTTGAACAGAGCCCACCAAYGATTTTCTTCACTGTGGCAGCTGCCCATACAACTTCAGGATTTTACAGGACATTATGGTGACAGATCAGTGCTGATGATGTGTGTCCATGCTGGGCAAACTCAATTACACGTTAGTGTGGAACAACAGTGAGCAGCAACTTGAGATTCAGCCTTTTCTCCTGAAATGATCKAGAGAAATCTGTGACCAGAGTCCTGAGAGCCTGGACACTGGATGAGTCAAGTATAGGTGCTACAGTGAAAGCTTTAATTGACTACTGCCATCATAAAATTTCTGTTTTTCAACAAATACAAATTAATGACCACTAGCAAACATATTTTTCCTCCTTGGGCCTCKGGCTCCTCATCTTTAAATAAGAGCAATCACAATGCTATCTATGCAAAGTACTCTGAGCTTCACTAATGTTAAGAAACTCATCACGGTTAAAAGAGCTAAGTTAGATGCAGCACAATCTGAATTTAGGACAAAAGTAAACCCAGATAGTCTTCTGGTGATGACAAACAGCAAACATATTCTTTTCAGCTTCATTTTTACTGTCCAGGACCACTGTAGCTCCCACACCATTTCCCTGTGATTAGCCTGGGAGAGGTAGCAAGGGCATGGAGTTAATCATCTGAGCCTTTCTTGAAGGTGCAGGACTACCAAGACATGCTCTTAAACAAGACAAAACTGGAAACCATATCTCCATCACAAACTCCTCATTTGGGGAGTTGCACAGTAATCAAATGCTTTCTGTTCACTTGATGCAGCCCCTGGGCAAATTGCTGGGATAGCACAGCCTCATGTGAGCGATACGCACACGACATTCAGCACCACCTCTCATTCCTCACACTCACCACACCATCAAATGGTCTAGGACCTCCACCAAAACAGTGTCTGGATTAACAGTGTTTGGTTGAAACAGAGCAAAACATAGATGAGACTGATGAGTAAAAGGAAGTGTTTTTGAGGTGCTTGCAGCTGTAATACTATTTATTCCCTTCTGCTAGAGCACAGACCCACAGYTAAGAAGCCAACTTGTGGCTAAGAAATCCACCTGAATTCCCTGGGTACATGGAGCACCCAGGGCTGGGGACTCTGCTATCTCTAATTGATTAGAGACTGGAAGATTATAACTTAACATTTCTTTTTTCACACATGGAACTATAGTGCACCTGAATTCACAGAAGAAACTACTGTAGATTTTATGCTTCAGTCCTGAATATTACTTGCTACATGCTAACATTAATTGCACATCTTCAGAGTTCCACAATGTATCTGTGCTAATTGCAAGACACAGATTCACAGGCTCTTAAATTTCTTCCATGAATTAGGGCATTGTGTTTTCAATACAACAGCAACTATTGCAGCTATTCTTCATCATTTTCTCAAGTTGTACATTATTCCTAGAACCAAGCTTTCCGTTCTGTCATGTTTCAAAAAGGAAATGGCTGTATAAGCATATTCTCACCTAAGCATTCACAGGGTGCACTCTGAAGGCTTGCTTCTAACTTAGTAAAACACAGCTGAAATTTAAAAAAAAAAAAAAAATTATTTTGTATGGTGTTTACTTTATCTTACTAGAAGTAGGATACTTACTTACTACAAGTAAGAATTTTGCTATCTTGTATCTGCTCTTTATTGTCAATTCATATGCTTTGGCCATTCTTAAATATTTGCCAATGGCTCTAGTTAACAAAATAACTTTAACTTAGTATTTGTAATACTGTAGTTATTCCCTACAGTAATAGATTATTTAGGTAACACTGCAAATAGAGAGGGAACCTTATCTATTAATCGAAGACAGAGCTGGCACCAACAATG